TCTAGGCAAACATGGAAAGTAGGAAACGATAGGGTTCAAAAGAGCATCATATCAAAAAATAAATTATACAACAAAAAACAGAAATACACGCGACGCTGAGGAAGGAGAATGGCAAGAACCGGAGGCGGAAAGCGCAGTGATAGAGATTGCGACACACTGTACTCCAGCCTGGTGAACAGAGCGAAGACTCCGTGCATAAAAAACAACAACAAAAAACAGAACAGGTACTTTGTTTGAGCTAAGATGGAAAATAAAAGTCAGAAGAATCTGAAAGTCTGAGAAAAATACGCTAAATCCTTCGTGAGGAAAAAGTGATTTAAAAAATCTTTTTTTTTTTTGAGTTTAAGTCCACTGTGCCCAGCTGATGCATGGGCACAATCTCCAGCTTCGCCACGCAACTCCCCCTTCCTGGTCAAGTGATTCCATCTGCCTCGCCTCCCAAGTATAAACGGGACTACAGGCGTGCCTACCATGTGCCCCGGACTCTAAATTTTTGCATTTAGTACAGATTCAAGGTTTCACCATGTTAACCAGGCTGGTCTTGATTTCCTGACCTCGTGATCTGCCCACCTCAGCCTTCCAAAGTGCTGGGATTACAGGCGTGAACCACCGTGACCGGCCTAGTCTTTATTTTTAGGATTTTTTTTTTAGAGATGAGGTTTCACAATGTTGCCAATGCTAGTATCAAACTCCCAAGCTCCAGCAATTCTCCCACCTCAGCCTCCCAAGTATCTGGGACTACAGGTACAGGCTACCATGCCAAGCAAAGTGATGTTACTTACCCACAGAGGCCAGGTTCATGTAGTTCTCCAGCATCACATCTCTGTAGAGGTATTTCTGAGTTGTGTCCAGTAAAACCCACTCCTCTGGGGTGAACTCCACAGCCACATCATCAAACGTCACTGAATCCTAAATCAAACACATGCTGGTTTGAGCCAATGAACACTTCCACCAGTGCTCACTGGAGAATGAGGAAGGGGAACCTTATACTCACTTATATGTGGTTCTCAGGTCTCCCATGATCTACTCCAGGGTTTAATGTTTCAGGAGCTCTTGTGTCTAAACACTCAAGGTTGACCTCCTACAGGCATATGCCTTGAACAGCCCCCCTTTTTTTTTTTTTTTTTGGTGACAGAGTTTTGTTCTTTTTGCCCAGGCTGGAGTGCAATGGCGCAATCTCGGCTCAGTAGAACCTCCACCTCCTAAGTGCAAGTGATTCTCATGCCTCAGCCTCCCGAGTAGCTGGGATTACAGGCACACAATACCATGCCTGGCTAATTTTTGTACTTTTAGTAGAGATGGGGTTTCACCACATTGGCCAGACTGGTCTCAAACTTCTGACCTCAGGTGATCTGCCCACCTTGGCCTCCCAAAATGCTGGGATTATAGGCGTGAGCCACCTTGCCCATCTGAACAGCACTTCATAAAAATTTTTAAAAATCTTTTTTGTCTGATCTATTTATTTTTAATTTTTAATATTTTTTAAAAATTTTAGAATTTTTATTTTTGATTAGAACACTACTTCCTAAACATGAATTTTTATCTATCTAGCATCTATCTCTCTATCTATCCAATCTGTTTGTTTATTTACATATAAAGATACGGTCCCACTGTGTTGCCGAGGCACAATTGCTGCTTACTGCAGCTTCAATCTCCTGGGCTGAAGTGTTCCTCCCACCCCAGCCTTTTGAGTAGCTGGAATTACAGGCATGAGTCACTGCACATTGCTTACACTTTATCTCAGCACAACCAGGTTAGGAGCTCTTCCTGTCCCATTGGTCTCTATGTAGCACACTCCTGAGCACACTGCAGATACCTGATAAATGCTGATGAGTAAATAAATTATTTGATAAAAGGACACTTTCATCTGCCTTATCACCTGTCACCCCACCCAGCCATGTAAGAAAGATGCAGTTGGCACCATGAAAGTCATGCTTAAGTAGTAATTACTGAGTTACCGGGATGATTTTCAAGTTAACACTTTATGTACAGGAGATTTCATTTCCTGGGGAAATTCATCTGGGGACTCAGTCTTTGAGTAAGGCTTCATTTGCTCTAAGAAAACTCCGGAGATGAGTCTGTCTAGACGGAAATGTGTCTATTGGATGTAAGTATGTCATTTTGTATAATGGTACATTGTCTGTTTACCTGATAAGAATTTGCCAGGTAGTCCTCCACCATCGTTCCTACCTTCGTCTTTTCTTCAAAAGGGCAGATTGGTTCCCTGGGAAAAAACCCTAGTGGAAAAGTAAGAAGGCAATGAGAAGCCAGAGCTGCCCATCCTAACCACATTCTCATGCCTAGAAGTCACTCCATCCTAGCTTGGAATTCATATGGGCTCCCTGCACACTCGGAGGAAATGCCACACAGCAACTGCATGAATGGGCCAGAGTAGTCCTGTGTCAGCTAAGACCCGAAAGCAGATGTGGGGCGAGCTTGGTCCTGTTTGGGTAAAGGTAATAGTTCTTTTACACGAAAACTTCAACCCTGAAAAATGTGGACTCATCTATCTGCCATAGTTGTAATACTATGAGTTATTAGCACCTTCCTAAGGCACACACCAGGGGCTGAATTCAACGCATTCCTTGGCTGGGGCACAGTGGTCATGGCCTGTAATGCCACAGTCTGGGAGGCCAGGGCAGGCAATCCCTTGAGGGTAGCATTCAAGACCAGCCTGGCCAACATGGCAAAAATTCCCGTCTCCACTAAAAAAAAAAAAAAAATACAGGAGATGGGCAGGAATTGCTTGAAACCTGGGAGTGGAGTTTGCAATGGAGTGGGATCATGAACTGCACTTTTCAGCCTGGTGGACAGAGGAGGACTCCGTTTCAGGATCAACAAACAAACAAAAAACAACCAAAATTGCTGGGCAGGTGATGGTGTTGTGGCCAGCTCTTTGGGAAGTGAGGCAAGAGAATTGCTGAAACTCGGAGGCGGAGGTGCAGTGAGGCAAGGGATTAACACTGCACCTCCAGCCTGGGTGACAGAGAAGAGATTCCTGTCCTCAAAAAAATAAAAAATTATAAATAATAAAACAGCATTCTGTTGGTCTCACGTCCAAATTCGTTGTCAAAGAACTAGCAGCCGCCGGCACGGTGGGCTGAGCCGTAATCCAATACTTGGGAGGCCAAAAAGCAGGTTAGAATCACCTTGAGGTCCGGAGTTTCAACACCAGCCCTGACCCAACATAGGGGAGAAACCCGTCTCTACTAAAAATACAAAATTAGGCTGTAGTCCCGTGACTTGGGGCGGGTGAGGCAGGGAATTGCTTGAACCCAGGAGGTGGAGGGTTGCGTGAGCTGAGGATCGCCTTGCACTATAGGGTCTGGGCAACAAGAGCAAACTCATCCTAGAAGGAAGAAGAAGAAAATAAAAAAGCCAGCATCCTGTTCGGCCCAGCTCACTGGACTCTTATGTTGTAGAGGGCGACCTAAAGCAGAATCTCTGAAAAAGAGCATCAACAAGGACTTACCAAGGGACAAATCAATGGCTGACATCCTCTGAACCTGATGGTGAGGTGTGCCTCAATGCTGTCTTCCTTGATGCCAAGATCGCCTCAGGGCAGCTTACGAATCTAGGTGAATAGAGGCAATCCCATTCTTCTCTGTACAGGGTTATCTGAGGTCCTGTTCACACCAATCATCAAACAACAAGCATCAAACATAAGTCACTGAATATTACGCATGAGATTTCTCTCTACAGGTGACAGATGTGAAAGCCACCAAAAACTGTACACTTGGTATCACCACTCAGTAATGATAGCATTAATAACAGCAACTGACATTTACTGAGGACTAGTGTGTCAGAAGTAGCTCTGGTAGCTTTACATATACGTGCTCACTTATCATAACCATCCTTCCCAATAGCTATCATTACCTCTATCTATCTATGAACCTATCTATTGAGATAGGGTCTCACTCTGTTGCCCAGGTTTAAGTGCAATGGCATAATCACAGCACTCTGTAGCCTAGACCTTCTGGGCTCAAGTGATCGCTCCCACCTCAGCCTCCTGAATAGCTGGGACCACAGGTGTGCATCATCAAGCCTTATTATTTTATTATTATTATTGTTATTTTGAGACAGAGTCCTACTGTTGTCCAGGCTAAAGTGCAGTGGCATGATCTTGACTCACTGCACCCTCTGCCTCCCAGGTTCAAGCGATTATCAGGCCTCAGCCTCCTGAGTAGCTGGGATTAGAGGCATGCACAACGATGCCTGGCTAATATTTATATATTTATTTATTTATTTATTTATTTATTTGGCAGAGTCTTGCTCTGCCGCCCAGGCTGGAGCGCAGTGGCGTGATATCCGCTCACTGCAAGCTCTGCCCCCTGCGTTCATGCCATTCTCCTGCCTCCGCCTCCCGGGTAGCTGGGACTACAGGTGCCCGCCACCACGCCCGGCTAATTTTTTTGTATTTTTAGTACAGACGGGGTTTCACCGTGTTAGCCAGGATGGTCTCAATCTCCTGACCTAGTGATCCACCCACCTCAGCCTCCCAAAGTGCTGGGATTACAGGCGTGAGCCACCGCGCCTGGCCGATGCCTGGCTAATTTTAGAGACAGGATTTCGCTATGTTGGCCAGGCTGGTCTCGAACTCCCGTCCTCAAGGGATTCTCCCACTTCAGCCCCCGAAGTAGCTGGGACTACAGGTGCACACCACTGGGTCCGGCTACTTTTTTGTATTTTTAGTAGAGACAGGGTTTCACCAGGTTGCCTAGGCTGGTCTCAAACTCCTGGGCTCAAACAATCCTCCCACCTTGGCCTCCCAAAGTGCTGGGATAATAAGCATGAGCCACCATGCCTGGCCCATTACCTCTATTTAATACTGAAAAAAACCTACATTCAAATAATCCTAGTAATTGGTCTGATATTTGATCCTACAGCCTGATCTCCTGTGGATGCTGTTACCCCCGAGGATGACCAGAAGACAGTTCAGACCTGCACAGAACAATTCAGCAGTCACCAGCCACGTGTTACTGATAACTTCATTATGTACCTAAGATGACTGAAGAACAGAATTTAAAATATTCAAAAGATGGCCAGGCGCAGTGGCTCACAAGTGTAATCTCAGTACTTTGGGAGGCTGAGGCAGGCAGATCACCTGACGTCAGGAGTTCAAGACCATCCTGGCCAACACAGCAAACTCCCGTCTCTGCTAAAAATACAAAAATTAGCCGGGCATGGTAGCACGTGACTGTAATCCCAGCTACTCAGGAGGCTGAGGCAGGAGAATTGCTTGATCCCGGGAGGCAGAGATTGCAGTGAGCCGAGATCACGCCACTGCACTCCAGCCTGGGACATAGAGTGAGGCTCCGTCTCAGAATAAAAGAAAATAGAGCTGGGTGCAGTGGCTCGCGCCTATAATCCCAGCACTTTGGGAGGCTGAGGCGATGAATCACAGGTCAGGAGATCGAGACCATGCTGCCTAACACAATGAAACCCTGTCTCTACTAAAAATACAAAATAATTAGCTGAGCGTGACAGCATGCACCTGCAGTCCCAGCTACTAGGGAGGCTGAGGCAGAATTGTTTGAACCTGGGAGGCGGAGGTTGCAGTGAGCCAAGATCACGCCACTGCTCTCTAGCCTGGGAGACAGCGAGACTCCATCTCAAAAAAAAAAAATGCCTGTAGTCCCACCTACTCGGAAGGCTAAGGCCAGAAGAATCGCTTGAACCCGAGAGGGGAGGTTGCAGTGAGCCAAGATTGTACCGCTGCACTCCAGCGGTGGGTAACAGAGTGAGACTCTGCTCCCCCTACAAGTAAAAAGGACAACAGCTACAATTGGGGTGACCATGTGATTAAGTTTACGGTAGTCCCAGTCATTCTCCAAGATCCATGTGACTTATGCACAAGGCAGCGTGTTTAATGATAATGAAGATGTAGTGAGTTTCATGACCCTGGGGTCTTTGAAGTGCGTTTTTTGGTGACCATTATTCTTTGCAGGTTCCACAGGAAAGGTTTCACTTCTAGTTTATTATCTTAGGGATGGGAAATTCCGAATGCCTTTAGTTTTTCAATTTTGTACCAGTTATGTTCCTCGCCTTACTAAATCAGATTTAGGCCATTATTAGCGGATGCTGCGTAAGTACCCAAAAATTCATGTATTTCAATTATATATTCAGGAACTGGGGAAATAATCATGGAAGGGGTCCATAGTTCAAGTGGGCCCTCAA